TGTGAAACAGCCCATCAGTACAGCAGCACTGATAGCCTTTGGCTGTGGCTACATCTTCAACTCACTATCAGGCATGGTATGGCATGGATGCTGTGCATGTGCTGGTAGGCATTAAGTGAACAAGCGTCAAGAGAGAAAGCAAGCAGCTCTGAGATGCAGAGACAACAAGGTGCAGAGCTGGATGAACACAGCGGGCCAAGCAGCATCATAGGAGCAGAAAGGCTGACGTTTGGGGCCTAGACCCCTCATCAGAAATGGGGGAGGGGAAGGGGGTTCTGAAATAAATAGGGAGAGAGGGGGAGGCGGATAGAAGATGGATAGAGGAGAAGATAGGTGGAGAGGAAACAGACAGGTCGAAGAGGCGGGGATGGAGCCAGTAAAGGTGAGTGTAGGTGGGGAGTTAGGGAGGGGATAGGTCAGTCCAGGGAGGACGGACAGGTCAAGGGGGCGGGATGAGGTTAGTTAGGTAGGAGATGGGAGTGTGGCTTGAGGTGGGAGGAGGGGATAGGTGGGAGGAAGAACAGGTTAGGGAGGCGGAGACGAGCTGGGCTGGTTTTGGGATGTGGTAGGGGGAGGGGAGATTTTGAAGCTTGTGAAATCCACATTGATACCATTGGGCTGCAGGGTTCCCAAGCGGAATATGAGTTGCTGTTCCTGCAACCTTCGGGTGGCATCATTGTGGCACTGCAGGAGGCCCAGGATGGACATGTCGTCTGAGGAATGGGAAGGGGAGTTGAAATGGTTCGCGACTGGGAGCTGCAGTTGTTTATTGCGAACCGAGCGTAGGTGTTCTGCAAAGTGGTCCCCGAGCCTCCGCTTGGTTTCCCCGATGTAGAGGAGGCCACAACGGGTACAGCGGATGCAGTATACCACATTGGCAGATGTGCAGGTAGCCTGGTCTAATCCAAGAGTTGAGTGCCTGTCCTTGTGCACACAGTAACCTTGAGCATCTTTTCAATGATAGTTGCCTGTGAACCTAGAAATACTAATCTGTGCTTATGACAGAATTTTCAAGACGAAAAGGCTGATGAAATTGCCTTTGGATGTTCAAAAAAGGAAGAATGAGGAGGAGAAAGGGTCTCACCTGTTGGTATATTTGCCCAGGATCTTCGAGGAGCAGTTCTGCTACCACACCCTCAGTGAGAAACAATGCATTAGAGGAAACCCCTTCACAAAATGGATATTAGTGTAAGCTGCTGCTTGTTGCAGCCAGAATTGCAGCTTCAGAACAATGAAAGAATGGCACTGCCAGGTGAAGGCAACCATGACCATTCTTTTTTATATGTCATGTGCTTTTGAGACTGCAGCAGGCTAATTTACAATAGTTATCATCCACTGAATGAGGAAGATCACAGAATCTCTGTATGCAAAGAGAGATGAATATGTTTTACTTGTGGAGTAGGAGGCAGAATGAACATGCACTTCACCCAGAGTACAGGCTTCTCTTTTGTGCAATGACTGCACACATCTATCTTTGCAACAACGAGCCATCAATTCTGTGGAATACCATACTCAACAGAGTCCCATTTCTTCAATGATGAGCTGTGAACAACTATCTCGTAGGTCAATGCCTGTTAGCCTGGCAGCGGTCATCATGTCTTCATTCTGTGCCAGTCTGCTGTGCCATCTACACTTAATACAACTGCTCTCGGTTCACCACCTGATCCCTGACTGCGGTGAGTCACTAATGCTCACAGGATAAACATGCATATAACAAGGGCCATGCTACCACATAGAATGTGATTGACTTGCCTTCGTGAGGACATATCTTTTGTAACCACATATATAGTGAGTGGTATATAGTGAATAGCAAAGAAAGAAAAGGAAAAGGAAGTGTAACATTTCTGATTGGGCTGTATTTGATCAACTCATCTGACTGCAATACCAGTGATGACAATCCCAATTCCTCATTCATTGGAAGTCACACACTTTACTTTCTGACTGTTTCTGGCCATTATGACACACTTAGATAATATGTAAATGAATAAAAACCAAAATAAATATTCTAAATGAAATTCTGAACAAAATCAGTTTTCCATAAAAAGTAATCTAATCAGCCTTGTGTATTTTATGCTATTCCTTAATGCCATTTCTCTGGGTACCTATGCCTGTCCTGGTGTTACCCGAGTAGCTGCGACATGGCTGCTTATTTGTATTTTTTGGGGGGTGGGGGGTGGTGTGTGAAACAGATGAGATTTCAGGACGACCTTGAGCATTCTGGGCCATAGAAGATTTGGCTTTAGACTGCATCGCCTTTGCATGGCTGACAGGCAATGACAACTGCACTGTCCAGGTTGTATTTCTAGGACAATGAATGCTGATATCCTGACAGAGGATAACAGATTCATGTTCCATGATGCCACTGTCCCAGTGAGGCACCTTAGCAATCACTGCAATGTATTGTGGTCAGATTGTTGGATGGCTATGAGACACTCCAATCCCTTTACACACTAGCATCTACAGTCATGATGGTCACAGGCTTAAGCTGCAAGTTATAATATTAGCATTTGTTGCTATTTGTAGACAATTCTTGGCCTCCTTGTCTACCCAAAGAAAATCTATAGAGTCTACTGAGCTGAGAAAAATTAACCTCTATTTAGGAACAACATTTAACTGGCATTTTGACTTACTGCTAGGCAAGTTCAGTATCATGTCATATGACACTGTACCACTTCCTGGGATGATACAGATTGTATCAGTTCAATATCACACAGCAATCCTTCACAGTACACATGGCAGCAAGCTGAGCTACTGTCACAGTAGATTGAACTGGAAATGCCAATCAGCCAAGAGCGCATAACTTCATTATGAGATTCTGCTGCAGCACTACATGTTGGGTGGTCTCTGCTGGTGTTGCAAGGGAAGCTGAGATAATAACCAGCAGATACTGTTGTATCCATGGATACAATGGATAAAGGATGCTGTATCCATTGTCTCTGCCTGCTCCTGCCCCACCGAACTTATCTCCACCTATCTGGATTCCATTTTCTCCCCCTTGGTCCAGGAACTCCCTACCTACGTCCGTGACACCACCCACGCCCTCCACCTCCTCCAGAACATCCAATTCCCCGGTCCCCAACACCTCATCTTTACCATGGATGTCAGTCCCTATACACCTGCATTCCCCATGCAGATGGCCTAAAGGCCCTCCGCTTCTTCCTGTCCTGCAGGCCCGACCAGTCCCCCTCCACTGACACCCTCATCTGCTTAGCCAAACTCTTCCTCACCCTCAACAACTTCTCTTTCAATTCCTCCCACTTCCTACAGACAAAGGGGGTGGCCATGGGTACCCGCATGGGCCCAAGCTATGCCTGCCTCTTTGTAGATTACGTGGAACAATCCCTCTTCCGTACCTACACTGGCCCTAAACCCCACCTCTTCCTCCGTTACATTGATGATTGTATCGACACCGCCTCGTGCTCCACAAGGAGCTTGAACAGTTCATCCACTTCACCAACACCTTCCACCCCAACCTTAAGTTCACCTGGACCATCTCTAATACCTCCCTCTCCTTCCTGGACCTCTCTGTCTCCAACTCTGGCAACCACCGAGAAACCGATATCCATTTCAAGTCCACCGACTCCCACAGCTACCTAGAACACCTCCTCTCACCCACCTTCCTGCAAACATGCCATCCCCTATTCCCAATTCCTTCGCCTCCACCGCATCTGCTCCCAGGATGAGGCATTCCACTCCCATACATCTCAGATGTCCTTGTTTTTCAAGGACCGCAACATCCCCGCCTCAGTGGTCGAGAACGCCCTCGACCGTGTCTCCCGCATTTCCCGCAACTCATCCCTCACACCCCCACCCCGCAATAACAACCAAAACAGAATCCCCCTCGTCCTCACGTACCACCCCACCAACCTTCGGATCCAACGCATCATCCTCCGACACTTCCGCCATCTGAAATCCGACCCCACCACCAAAGACATTTTTCCCTCCCCACTCTTATCTGCTTTCCGGAGGGACCACTCTCTCCGTGACTCCCTTGTCCGCTCCACACTCCCCTCCAGCTCCATCACACCCGGCACTTTTCCCTGCAACCGCAGGAAGTGCTACACCTGCCCCCATACCTCCTCCCTCACCCCCATCCCAGGCCCCAAGAAGACTTTCCACATCAAGCAGATGTTCACCTGCACATCTGCCAATGTGGTATACTGCATCCGCTGTTCCCATTGTGGCCTCCTCTACATCGGGGAAACCAAGCGGAGGCTTGGGGACCACTTTGCAGAACACCTACGCTAGGTTCGCACTAAACTGCACCTCCCAATCGCGAATCATTTCAATTCCCCCTCCCATTCCTCAGACGACATGTCCATCCTGGGCCTCCTGCAGTACCACAACGATGCTACCGGAAGGTTGCAGGAACAGCAACTCATATTCCGCTTGGGAACCCTGCAGCCCAATGGTATCAATGTGGATTTCACAAG